TCTTTAGGGTCACATTTAGATGCTCAGATGGGTGCAGAGTACAGTGAAATGTAACAGAAAAGTGTGCGAACAGTAGTCATAATCACCTTCCAGAAAACGGAGTGATAGAAGGATGTCATTCACTGTAAAAATCTCCAATAAAAAGGCAGGAAACCTTTAATTACATTTTCTAACAACTCTTAAATGAGTAACTGGCTCCCCCTGCTGACAGGAAATAACGATTCAAAAGATCCTGAAGCGTGCATGTTAAATAAAACAAACTATACACACAACTCCCACTGAAAAACATCTCATAAAATCATCAAAACGTTCCTAAATTAAGATATTAATCTCACTGCAGTAGGACCGGGGATTTTCCTCTTTGGTTCAAGTCAGAATTTTTTATGAACAGTAACAACGAGACTTCATAAAAACAGGCGAAAGCGGACCTGAGACCTTTTGAAACAAAATGGCTTTTCCGGAAACGGGGAGTAAAGTGCAGCTTTGTGGGTACCTATTGGAGCCCCGGACGCAGGACGCCCATCAGCCAATCAGAGGGTCGTCATCATCGTCGTCGTCGTCGTTGGAGATCTGCAGCCTCTGAAAGGGCCGGGAGCTCGGGAGGCGCCGGCGGGCCATCAGCCTGAACAGGACTGAGAGGAGACTTCCCGTTAGCTGATTGGTCCAGAAAAGACACACGCTTACCCCAAAATGGCTCTGAGAACTTCACATTAGCGCCAAAGCTAACAGCTAATCCGCTAACTCCCACCACCCTCATTCAGATTAATTGACTTCCCGTTAGCTGGTCGGTCCAGGAAAGACACGCGTTTACCCCAAAAAGGCTCTCAGAACTGCTCATTAGCTCCTCAGCTAACAGCTAATCAGCTAATCCGCTAACTCCCACCACCCTCATTCAGATTAATTGACATCCTGTTAGCTGGTCGGTCCAGAAAAGACACACGTTTACCCCAAAATGGCTCTCAGAACTGCACATTAGCTCCTCAGCTAACAGCTAATCAGCTAACTGTAATTACAGTAAAACAATGACAGGGTTTAAACCAGCTGTCCTTAAATCTGGTCGCTCCCACACACCTCATTTAGCACAATTAGCCTTTAAAAGTTACATACTTTCAGATTAGGCACGACAGGCGCATAAGAAGATAGATATCTACAGCCAGAAATAACAAATGTGGTATAAAATTAAACAATTTCTCAATTTTTCAGCAGTGTTTCCCAAACTTTTAGCTGTGTAATGAATCTGTTTGTGTTATTTTCTTATTTATCCAATTAATGCACCCTTTAAAGCAACAGAAACCGAACGCCCAAAGTGAGAAATGACCTTTAAACCAGCACCAGAGTAAACAGCAGCTGTGATGCTGGCCGAGGCAAATTAAAGTAAAATATGCACCCTGATACTGATTAACACTGTCCGATTAACCCCCCTAATACCTGTAAAACAGATATTTATAGCTAGAAATAACCAATGTGGTAAAAAACGTAAGGATTTCTCCAATTGTTTAGCAGTATTTCCCAAACTTTTGGGTGTGTAGCTCTATTTAATGAATCTGTTTGTGCTATTTTTTTTATTTATCCAGCGGCTGTTGAGCCATTTCCATCCGAAAGGCTTAAAAATAATGATGGAAGTGCGGAGCAACAACAAAAAAAAGCAGATAAACTGAAAAAACAGGAACATTTTCACCTACTTTTTGATTTCCTAGCATACCAAAGCTGCTTGTACCCGGGTAAAGCCGGTCTTACTTTTATATTTTCTATCATACCAAAGCTCGCTGTACCCGGGTAAAGCCGGGGGTCTTACCGGTGACGGCGCTTTGGTATGCTAGAAAATAGAAATTTTCTTATTTATCCACCGTTTCTATACAAAAGACTTAAAAATAATGATGGAAGTGCGGAACAACGACAAAAAAAAGCAGAAAAACTGAAAAAATAGGAACATTTTCACCTACTTTTCTATTTCCTAGCATACCAAAGCTCCTTGTACCCGGGTAGAGCCGGTCTTACTTTTATTTTTCCAAGCATATCAAAGCTCGCTGTACCCGGGTAGAGCCGGGGGTCTTACCGGTGACGGCGCTTTGGTATGCTAGAAAATAGAAATGTTCTTATTTATCCACCGTTTCTATACAAATGACTTAAAAATAATGATGAAAGTGAGGAACAACAACAAAAAAAAGCAGATAAACCGAAAAATAGGAACATTTTCGGCTACTTTTTGATTTCCTAGCATACCAAAGCTGCTTGTACCCGGGTAAAGCCGGGGGTCTTACCGGAACAAATAAACTGAAAAAGTAGAACACATTTTCACCTATTTTCTGGCACATCTTACCGGTGAGGGCGCTGAGCAGCAGCAGCACGCCCACCACCAGGCCGGCCACCAGGGGGCGCTCCCAGCAGCCCTCCCCGGCCAGCAGGCAGCGCGCCTGGGCCAGGCTGCCGTTGTGGGGCCGGGGGGGGACCCCCAGCAGCCGGCACATGAGGGGGTACACGTCCACGCTCTGCAGGGCCTCCAG